GGATTCCATTCAGGGCTTTTGTCAGGAGATAAAAAGAGACAAAAGAGTAGCAAAGAGACCTTAAAATAATGCAGGGAGAGTCTGATCTGATCATCAGGGGTCTTGCTGACCTCAGGGCAAGAAGGTAGAGGACAGGAGGTCCCAAGGAGAGCAAATGTCCTCAAGAGAATTCTCACTTCAACACTCAAGAAGCTAAAAAAGTCAAGATGAACATGAAACACAGCAAAACAGAAACATTTCTCATAGACCCCTTGGCAATATCCAGCCTAACAACCGGAACCGTATGACAGCAATGGTGACCCCCAAAGTGATCACATGTTTGAACCAAACCAAGAGCTTTTTTTGTATTAGTGTGTGAAATCAATTAGCTTAGGAAAGTAGTTGTTATTATTATTATTTTTTAAAGAGAGTTGCCACTGAAATTCAAGGGATTATTAACAAATTTCGTTTTTTCATTGGCAGTTGCTCACTATGCCAGGGCTGCATAGGATCTATTTACATATGACCAACTCACTAACTACCAGAGGCTTTCAGGTAATGAGAGAGATGAAGCTTGGCAAGGCGGGAGGGAGACTTAGGAACAAAAATGGAATTTATTCCCCCAACCAAGTTGTGGTAGGAACCCAAACTGCGAGGTTTAAAATAAACTGCTCCACCGGGAACCGCCCGAGGCCAGATGGCATCAGCACCCAGGTCCCTTGCTGCTTCGAACCAGATCTGTTTACTCCCCAGGCGCCGGGGCCAAGAGCAGGTCTGAAACCAGCAGGGGAAAGGCTGTGGGCTACTGGCAAAGGTGCTTTCACGACTAAGCTTTTTCTTCTGCCCTTGGATGCCCACTGTATTTATCTTTGGCAAAGGTACGCGCTTTCTTCTGTTTTCTTTTTTGTCTTTATGATAATGCACCTGTGCAGATGCTCATGGGTTGCTGAGGCCGACATGTGAAACGGGAGGAGCTTCCTTCGCTTCAATTAAGGAGTGAACAAAGCAGCTGTCTCTCAGCGGATACTGAAGACAAGAGTGGGAGGGAACTCGAAGAGCCCCACCAGAACACCCACCAGCCCGTATCAAAGAGCCATGACAGCTGTGTCCAGGCGCGCGCACAGCATTAGCAGGAACTTATTCAAATTGCTTTAATAGTGATCCACGGAGGAAATACAATTGATTTGGAAGTTTAATTCTTGGTCTTAAGGGAGGTCAATGTAACAGCTCAACAGATTATTTCAAAGAGGTGGTTTAGAGACGAGGGAGCGTGAAAGGGGCAATGCGTGGGGACGTTCCTAGAATGAGAATTTGGAAGGGCGCTTAGAGATCATGGTCTAACCTCCTCCATGAAACAATCATTCCACCAAGTCCCTGCTTGTAGGAACTCAGCCTAATTGATAAATCAGAGGAATTAAATCTAATTTTCCATTGAAGTTTTTGTGTGTGGCATTCTCAGTGGGAGAAGAAGGGAAGAGGAGAAAATCAGGAATGGGTGTGGCCGTTAGATGTGGACCCAGCAGAAGGTGAGGGGCAGCCCCCTCAAACACTCAGGAAGAGAGAGTGGGGCCATCCCCTGGCTCTTTTTAAACGTGGGAAAATGATGCGTGAATGGCGGCTCTCCCTGGAAACCCGCATAAGAAACGCCATTTAAGAATAATTCGCGGCTGGGCACGGTGGTGCACACCCGTGATCCCAGAGGCTGGGGAGGCTGAGGCAGGAGGATCGTGAGTTCAAAGCCAGCCTCTGCAATGGAAAGGCACTCAACGACCCAGTGAGACCCTGTTTCTAATAAAATACAAAATAGGGCTGGGAATGTGGTTCAGGGGTTGAGTGCCCCTGAGTTTAATCCCTGCTACCCCATCCCCAGAAAAGAACAATCTTGAAGTGCTCACTTTCAAACTGAGTGACAGGCTGTGTATGGCTCAACTATGCCGAGGGCACCCGGCCAAGTGCACAACAACCCTGTGATCACTGTTCAGTGGACCAGGTGTGACCCTGAAGTCTTTTACACACACACACTTTCTTTGGAAATCATGGTCAAGATGGAATGTGGTGCCGAGGCAGGGGGATCACAAGTTCAAGGTCAGCCTCCTCGGCAACCCAGCAAGGCCCTATCTCAAGATAAAAATGGAAAGGACTAGGCATGCAGTGCCGTGGTAGAGTGCCCTCAGTTCACAGGAGGTTTCCTCTTCTTAGCCATTTGTCCTTTGTGGAAGTCCCTATTGGATGAACCAGTGCTGCAGAGCAGTGCATGAAGGCACCCCCTCCCACAGGCCGCAGCACTGGGGATGGAACCCAGGGCCTGGTGCATGCCAGACAAGCGCTCGACCACTGAGCCACGCCCCCAGCCCTGTGCCCCAACGTAAATATGGCATCAGTTGTCAGCTCTATCACCTCCAGTGGGTCATTCACCAGGTGACCCGAGGACCTCCGATGGACACAAAGACCACAGTTACCTGAGCTATGACATCTGAGATTGAGGCACATCCCACCAGGAAGCTGTATTTGTGTTTTAAGAGAATGCCAGCATGGGTCCATGCCTGCCAGAAAGAAAAGACATTGCCATGAGATACACGGTGGGGATGGTACTGTTTCTCATTACGGTTCACTGGGTATTCCTGAAATGTGTTTTACACACACCAATGTCTTCGCAGCACAGGCACGATGAATGTTTGGTTGGTGAAATTACTGTCACTTGGTCTGGTGGCTGAATCCACGTTAGATTTTTTTAAGTGGAAGAGTGAGGACATTTAATTATATGCAGACTAGTGGGGTCATCCTGTTTGCGTGCCTGGCAGATTTTGGAATATGATCAGTTAGCAAGAGCAGAGGAAACCCAGTCACCCGTGGGGCAGGGTGAATCTCAGAATCACCCCTCCTTCCAGGAAGCAGGTGACAACCAGGGCACTGACTTGGTTCTGCGGGTTACAGTCGTGACCCTTCTCACTAGCTGACTCGGGTTCTACCGTTTTACTGTCTTCGGGTTTGGGCAGGACCTGATATGACCTTTTGTGTCTTCAAGGGAAGTTAAGATGGAAAGAAGTACCACAGCAGGCAACCCAGAGCCTGGACAGCCGGGTTGGAGAAGGCCGGATGCTCTCGATGGGATCTGCTTACGGACTGATTTTCCTTCTTTCCTTTGGACTGGTTTAGAAATAAAATTTCACCTGAGATGGACACAATCCGACAAGTCTGATCTATTCCCCAGGTCTGTGTCGAGACTTCCTACAGCAGCTGTTGTACCTGTGACCTCAGCTCAGAGGCTCGGGATGCCAATTGTTAAAAGAAATACAACCGCAGATGACATTCACAAACATCACCGGTGGGCTGTCCGTGGTTGGGAGCCATCTGGATAACAAGCTTCCTGGCTTCCAAATATTCTCTCTCCAACCTACTACTGGGTGTGGAGGTGTGTGTAGGTGGGAGAGGACAGAAAGGACCTGCTCATTATAAATGCTCATTATTTAAGGTTTTATTAGCAGTTCTCTTACTGTTATATTAAGGTCTTTGTGGGGACTTAAAACATGGAAGAAAAGTTACCAATCAACAATGTTCTGGTGCTATGCAGACAGACTATCCCTCACCAAGATGCTTAAGACTGGAAGTATTTCCGATTTTGAACTTTTTTAGATTTTGGAATATGATCATATATTATAATGAGGTATCTTGAGGGTCAAACCTAAGTCTGAACATGAAATTCATCTATACACACCTTATATACATATAGCCTAAAAGTAGTTTTATGCAACATTTTAAAAAAATTGCGCATGAAACATAGTTTCACCTGAGATGGGTTGTAGAATAATCCAGATGGGGTGTCACATTAGTGCTCAAGAAATTTTGGTGTTTGGAGCATTTAGGATTTGGATTTTGGATTAGGTATGCTCCACCTGTACTAAGTTTTTGAAACTATTTCTCATGGCAAATAAATAGAACTGAAGGACAGTGGAAGGCAGGGTATTTTAAGAGTCCATGAGTCGCTAACAGTCTCCAGTTCCTGGAATTCACTGTATAATTACAGTTCTCAGTGGTTAGGTTCCCACTTCCAGCTCAGAAGGAGCACAGACATTTCAGTGGCACGGTGGCCTCATCCGGGGGTCAGGCCTTAACTCTTTCAGAAATGTGAAGAAGGTCACTGCATTCAGTTCTCTAATGAGAGTGACTGAAAGTCCTGTGCTCCCTGGAAGGGGGGATGGGCTGCAGAGAGGGTGCCCACCGCACACATGTACCTCTGCATCATCAACCAGGGAAAACATACTTGGCAACAAGAAGAAAGTACAGGTGCACGTGTTCAGATGGCCCAATTCTCTCACCTACAGTGACATCCCCACAACTGAGGACCAGACCTTCATGTTACAACTGGTTTAATATTTAAGGTTTCCTTGCAGACCAGAAGAGAGCCCTCAGAGCCACTGAGGCCATGCAATAACGGACCACCGACCACTTAAGATTTCTGAAGACCTTTCAGCAGGTGCATTTTACCCACCTCCCTGCTCTCCCTGCTCCAGGGCTTGGGACTGTGGCCTTACCTCGACACAGAGGTTCATCTACTCCTGTGCCTAACACATGTGCAACTTGAGGTAGGGGACGATAAAAAGTAATTTAAAGCAGAGCCAAAGAAAGGGCTTATTTTCCAGCATCAGACATCACTGTAAATTTCTGTGCGCTAAGTCTCTTTATATCTGTACCAGATGGAAAGAAAAACAGTACTGTTCTGGGCATCATGATGAATTAGAGACACGAACAGTCCTTAGCTAATGTAGTAGAGCTGGTATCAAGTAAGGAAATCTTATTGGTGTGTACAGGAGATTCTTATTCTACAACTTTAGCAGCGTAGGCTCCACAAGTGGTAAATTATCAGTGAACTATTCTGATGGCTTGATCTGAATATGTCAGAAAAGAACTTCATATTCTGAATCAAAATTTTCAAATGGGCTTTCTTTCCACCTGGCACAACTTGTGGCAAATACATAAAATTCTCATAAAATAAATTGAGAAGATGGACTGCGTAAAACTCAAGGAAATCAGTATGATGTTTCCTCAAAAATTAAAAATCAGATTGGGATGTAGTTTGGTGGTAGTGCATGTGTTTATTAGCACACATAAGGCCCTGGGTCAATCTGTAGCACTAAAAAGTCAAAAAAATACCATATGATCAATTCTATTTCTAATTATATATCCAAAAGAATTGAATGTAGGGACTCAAAGAGGTACTTGTACAACCATGTTCATAGCAGTATTAGTCACAACAGCCAACACAAACATGTAAAAGCAATGCAAATGAATGGATAGGCAAAATGTGCCAGACCCACAGAATGGAGTATTATTCAATCCTAAGGAAGAAAATTCCGACATACACTACAACATGGATGAACCCTGAGGATATCATACATAGTGAAATAAACCAGTCACAGAAGAAAAAAATACTATGTGATTTCACTCATATGAGGTATCTAAAATTGTCGAATTCATGGAGGCAGAAAGTAGATTGGTTGTTTCTGGGAAAAATTATAATTATTGTTTAATGGGTATAGAGTTTTGGTCTTGGAAAAGGAAGAGAGCTCTCAAGACAGATTGTCTAAAAACATGACTGTTCTTCATGCCACCGAGCTCCACACATAACAGTTAAAATGGTCCGTTTCATGTCATGCATATTTTGTCATTTAAAAGAGAAAGGCGAATAGTCCCCTACTTACCATAGCATCCATAAAAGGGAAGGCAGCGAGATACAGGAAGGCCCTTCTGGTTTTACTCCCCACCGACTCATCCACATGGTGCAGTTTGTTGATGATGTAGTAGCCTAAATCGCTATAAGCTGCAAAGGGTCAAAAGACATATGAGAATATCTTTAAAAAGGTATTTTCCCATGCTTTTGACTTTGAGAACTTCAAAATCATTTTAAATGAAACATTTGTCTGCTGTAGAAAAATTAGAAGAAGATCATCTGTAATCTCCTCCCTGTAGCCAGAGAAGGTCACATCACAGCTAACATTCTGGGCTTTATTTACTGGGTCAATCTGTAGCACTAAAAAGTCAAAAAATTCCAGATGATCAATTCTATTTCTGGTTACATATCCAAAAGAATTGGATGTAGGGACTCAAAGAGGTATTTGTATAACCATGTTCATAGCAGTATTAGCAGTTCTTTTACGGCTGTGTGGAGTAAGTGTGTGCTTTAACGTAATTAGGGGCGCATACTACATATGCTCTTTTGAAAACCAGGACCACCTTTCTGTGATCTGCTTCTGCATTCTAACTCACTGAATTCCTCTCCATGAACTGATTTTCTTCAATCTCCTACTGTTGCACATTTGTATTATTTTGATATTATAAAAGGATGAATGATGAACTGATCTGCAGTTAAATGCTTACACACATTAGGTATTAACAGAGGAAGTTTCCAGAAGCTAACATGCCTTTTCAATACAAGTTCTAAAGCAAACTTTTCGCACTTGTCAGTCCTTCTATTTTGTTTCTTGGCAGGAGGGTGGCAACTCTGGGTAAAGTCTTGCATGGTGGAAAATGACGTGCAAGAGGTGTTTTGGAAGTCTCTCCTGTGTCAAGATTTGTCCCACTGTGAGACTGGAACCTGTGGGCTGGATGAATGTATATATGCCCAAGAGATAAAGGGAGAAAGGCACTGGTCATCCCAGTGCATTAGCTCAGCATCCTAATTAGCAAAGGTTTAATGAAACACGGAGCTATTTTCAACTCCACTGATACAGCCAACGCTGGACACAAAAATACTAATCTATATGCTTTTCCGTGTTTTATAAGGGCTCCAACACTAAGTGTTCCTGCTGTTCTCTGTCATAACTATGGATATGAATGTGCCCTTGAAATCAGGTAGAGCTAGAGGGCAGAGTCTTACTTTCTGTGAAATAAGAATCCTCCCACATCTCAGAGTCTGTAGGGCAACTTATTACCACCTTAACTGGCAAAGTGAAGTAAAGCTCTAATCTTTATCGGGATCAGTCTTGAATTACAGGAATTCTGGAGTAAGTGAGGTCATGGGATGCTATCCAGGATGCTGAAGTGCACCGATGGGAGTCCTGGAGGTTGCAGGGGACAAGTAGGTGACTTCAAGCTCGTAGGCTGGGGTGGCTATGACTTGCGTGCGTAGAGCAAGGTGGAGCTGGGGTGGGGGAAGGCAGGCAAGGGCTGCAGGAATGCTCCCCGTCCTCCAAGGAGGGGCAGAAGTGAAAAACCAAAGGCCGGTAGGTCAGGTGAGCCAAGTGCCAGGTGAGGAGGGTAGTGGGGCCATGGTGGGGGAGCAAGAAGAGAAAGCTGGAACAGCGGGCATCACGAGGCAGAAAGAAGAGATGTGGGAAGGTGGGCTGAGGTACGGCCAGGGACAGGAAGGAAGGAGGCAGCTGTGATGTCCCGTCATTTGGATCAGAGTCCTACCAAGTGGACAAGCAGACAGAGGAGGCTTGAGCGGACCGGGAAGGCAGCACGGGAGAGCTGCAGTCTGCTTGCAGGAGGTCAGAGCTTCCTCCCCACAGTGCTCTGCAGACTGAAGCACAAAGCCAGAATGAGATGCTGCTGAGCCACCCAGGTCTACTCTGGCTGCTGAGCTGTGGAAAGTTTGTCGCAAAGTGTGCCATTGCTGCTGTTTATCGTGGAGTTGTTTTCATTCAGTCAATAAATGTCCACTGTGCAGGAACCTGCAAGGGACGGTTTTGACATACCACACCACACCACCGTGCCCATTCAGGCCGGGGTGACGAGAAAGGTGGCGTGCTGGGGGAGAGAGCAGCACGTGAGGCTGGCTATGAGTAGCTCGTGAGTCGGTTTCCTGGGAAGGTTACAGTCAACACAAAATCCCAGCTGAGTAGACTTGACTGCAGTGACCAAAGCAGGGGACCACGGGACTGGGGCCAGGCTGAGACCAAGAACGGCAACGTTGTGGGTTCAGCCAAGTCTCCTCAAAATCCAGATGCCTAAGTCCTCACCCCTAGACCTCAGAATGTGACCTTATGTAACAAGAGGGTGGAATTAGATGAGATCACACTGGAGTGGCGTGGCCTCCCAATCCAATGCGATGGCGTCCTTATACAAAGGGGAAATCTGGATGCACACGGGGGAACCACACCAGGATGAAGGCAGAGCTGGGGTGATGTCCTTACATGCCGAAGACTGCCAGCAATCCCCAGAAGTCAGGGGAGAGGCATGGGACAGAGTCTCCTTCACAGTCCTGAGGAGGAGACAGCCCTGCTGACACCTTGATCCTGGGACTTCCAGTCTCCAGGATTCTTAGACAGTCAATGTCTGTTGTTTAAGTCTCTCAGTTGGTGTGTTTGTTCCAGCAGGCCGGACAAATGAAGACAGCACTTCTGACGCAGGGAGGGAGAATGATTTCCATGTTAGGTCCTTGGGTGGTGGTCAGGGAAGAGGGACATGTGGACTTGAGTGGAGAACAGGGCCTGGGGTTTGCCGGTGCTGCCCAGGACTAGTGACCAACAGAAGTGAGCCTCTGCCCTCCCTGTAAATGCAGCTACTTCCTTGGATATTTGACTAAAACATGAGAATGATACCTTTATGCAGCATATCTGCAAGAAAGACACAGGGGACTGGGGATTGGAGGACCACAGGGTTCCCAACCCGGTCTCCTTGGGGGGAGCCAGTGGGCTTTCTGCTCCTGGGAAACATGTGAGCCCTTCCCTCCCTCTTCTCAGCCCAAGGCCTGCATGCAGGCTTCTCCCCACCCCAGGTTCCAGCACGGTGGCACTTATGGGCTCCAGGTTGCTTTTGCTTCTTTCCATTTTGGTCTCTTTTGGTTACATGGGAGAAATCTGGAGGCCAAAGACAGAAGCTTATCCTCCTTTTCACAGTAGAAGACGACTTCTTCTCAGCCTTGCCCCAGCCCCGTGGTCCCCTGCTTTGGCTGTTTCCACCCTGGGAGCTGTGAGTGTAAAATCCCAGCACCTGTTTTCATGTCTCTTCTGCCCCTCCAATCCCTCCTTGCAGTGCCAGCCCCTGGCTATTTCCAGTGAGAGCAGTTGGCTGGGGTGATCTGCTTGCAGTGCTCTGCGTGGACTCCATAGTTACCAGGCCAGCTGCCTTAGCAAAACTAAGTGACCTTCAACTTCCATGGCTGCCCTGCCGTGTCCTGAAACGACTTGTGTGTTCCTCATGAAGGGCAGAAAGTTATAAAACAAAATTAAATGAGGGTTCTGAACACAGGTAAGCAGGTTTTACGATGCTGTAACCCCAAGAGGACGGTGACTTGACCTGTTTATAGGGAGATGGCTTCGACCCTGCCCAAACAAGGAGAGACAGAAGGGCCCTTCAAGTCTACAGCTCTTCTGACCTCAGCCAACCAGGATGACAGCCCTTTCTGGAAGCAGTGGTTTCCAAACTGGCTCATCCAGTGGTTACTAGCACTTTTGTAAACCACAAAATACGAACACCGGTGACAAGGGTCTATCTACATGTATTTTCCCAAAGGGACTGAGAAAAGGTCCTCCCCCTCATTGCAGAAACAGGATAATATGTGCATTTCCAACACACAGGATTGACCGCCCTTCTTCAAACTCAAATTTCCCAAGTTGTCAATGCTTAAAAGTCTCACCAGTACTGTTTACGGACCCCCCCGAGGCTGTTCATGGGAACAGGCAACTTTACCCCCAGGTTTCTAAAGTATCATTTTCAAAGTGAGTGTATTTATATGGGCAATAGCCGTATTTAAATCACTTTGCGAATACATGTTGAATGACTGGTAGTATCAGGTACTGGGCTGACTAGCCCAGCTGTGAAGGTGATGATTTCCTACGTGGGACGTTGACATGGAACTCAACTAGAATCTGTACCAGGAAAACCTGGGGATGGGAGATGTGAACGTGGTCCAGGCCTGGGAGTGATGCTATAAACTCATGCCTGATAGAAGTAAAGTGAATGTGGAATTTTACCACAAGAACAAAAATCCTACCTCATTAGTATTAAGACTTGATAGAGCGGGGTCATATTCTATCATTGATAACTGCTTCTCTCTAGAGAACATGTCTTATTCATGCCTGAACACCCGGGATTTAGCTCAGTTTTTATCAAACACATAGTAGGTGTTTGATAAATGTTAATTGAATGAATGTACAAATCCATCATCCCCAAAAGGACTGACTATAAAAATGTCCCCAATTCTTTTCTTCTCCTATATCTCCACCTTTGTGATTTTTCAACTCCTGTCAAAAGCTGGAATTTATGTCCCCACCCTGGACCTGGGCTGGCCTGCCCTGTGCTCGGGTGGGTGGTATGCACTGGGGGTGATGGAGTGCTGCCTGCTTCTTGGCTTCAGGACACCTCGTGAGCCTCTATTCCCTGCTTAGAGTCCAGACATGGCATCTCCAAAAGTCCAGGCTGTGCCACTGGACCACGAGACACTGGTGTGCAAGAAAGCTCAGCTGTGCAGCAGAGGTCACCTGGGCCAGCTTGCAACCAGCTGACCACACCCAGAAGGCCCCCCACAAGATCAGCTCAGCCACCTCCTGATCCTCAGCTGACCACAAAGGCAGCAGCCCAGCCAAGCCCAAAAGAACCACCCAGCCTACCCATGGTCTGGTGAGCAAAAATAAATACCTGTGCTTATAGCCTTTGAGTAGGGGGAAGGTTTTTAAGACAACAACAAATTGTGATCTTCTACTGAAACTGGTCATCCCTAGCACCTGTTTTTCAATTCTGTCAAACTGGACCCATTTGGCCTTTACAGGACTTGTTTATAACACATGAACAAGGAAAAAGTTCAAAAAGAGAAGACTGGCAGACGGAGCCAGGGTGGCGATGACTTCCACTGCCCTGTGTGGGAGCCTACGCGTGTGGCTGCCAGAGTCCTGCTGACTGCCCAGGCTGCTTCAGAACGTGGGCAAGGCCCGGGAGGTCACTGTTGAGAATAAAGAAGTGTAACGAGGTCTGAAATCCACAGCCCTGGTTCCTGTAGCTCTGTGACGGAGGCGGTCAGGAAATAGTCATTTCCTTACAGGTAGAATGATTGTGGACCCAAATGAAACAAATGCAGGTTCATCCAGCTCCTCTTCCACAGACTCACCAGAGTGAGAAAGAGGGTCTCTATCACCTGCACTGTGACCAGTGCCCTGAATCACAGTGCATGGGTGGCACACCCTGTGCTCTGCAGTTGTTATAAATGGAGTCTCATGGATGATCCATGAACACTAACTGGAGGCGCCCAACAGGCAAGAAACACTCCCAAGGCTCCTGCTATCTGGTGGCCAGAGCCAGGCTATGGGTGTGCACAGAATGGACAAGAGCTTTGGGGCTAGTGACTCTCCTAGACTTCAGGTCTGTCAAACTCAGCACAGCCTCAGTGTCTGCTCTTTGTCCCACAGCACACCCTGTGGTGGCAGGTGCTGCCAAGTGCAGCCCTCTTCCCTCTCTCCAGGCATTCCTGGGGACAGCTGTGTGGCCGACGGAATCTGCTTCCCATCTGGGGAAACCCACACATATGTGCCAATGCCTCCAAGATGGGAGAGGGCTATGCTTATCTGTGGGGTCCAGAAAGAAAAGTAATCAGAAAAAAAAAAATGAAACACAACAAAAAAGAATTCCTTCACTACAGCAAATGTAATGAAAAGGGCCCGGCAAAGGTCCTTTCCTCTATTGGGCAAACACAATTAATAACGGATGACACTACAGAGAAGCTTTTAGTGCCCTTTGACCTGACCTTCACTTGTTCTTCGGTGACCCATTAGCTGATGAACACAGAGGACGTTTCTGTGAAAGGGAGGAGCTACATCTGCTAGGGATGGTCACATTAGAAATTGCGTCTAAGTGAAGAAGATCCCCCAGGGGCGGGTAGATTATTAGTAAATACCGGGGTACTAAGCGCTCACGTTCCTCCAGGCTGGGGAAAATCTAAGCTAGAGAAGATCACACTTGGAACGAGGATTTTTCAGATGCCTGGAAGAATCACAGGAACAAACAGTCCTTGAGAGAGATCACAGAGAACCTAACCAGGGCACTAGTCCACAGCCATGGAGATGAGCAGAATTACAGATATTCTAATTCTTTCTACAAAGAGACCAGGAAGTTATAAAGATGCACTTAAGAAGATACTGAGGGCTGGGTTGCCGCTCAGTGGTAGAGCGCTTGCCTAACATGTGCAGAGGCCCTGGGTTCAATCCTCAGCACCACATATAAATAAATAAAATAAGGGTAATGTGTCCATCTCCAACTAAAAAAATGTTAAACAAACAAACAATCAAAAAACCAAAGAAACAAAGCCCACAGTTGCACCATAATACCCTCCTGATGGGCTTCCTCTCTACACTGCACCTCCCTCTGCCCCTCCTTTGGCTTTCCATGGAGTCAGCAGAGCCTTTCCTAGTCTCAGTTTCCATGTCTCCTTTACCTGGTTACGGTCTCCTGCCTGAGCACACGGCCCTGCACTCTCTCTTGTGTTACTTCCCTCTGGGTCATGAGCGCCTGGCTACTGCCTGCCTTCCCATCATTTTCTCACCAGAGCTCCCTCTGTTTTCCCACTCCCCGAGTCACCCTGCTCTCTCAGGTCCAGGAGAGCATTTTAACTCCCAGACCTTGGCTTTCATTTACTTCTGCCTTTTCTCAAAGTTCTCACTGGGTGAAGACTGGCATTTGTCAGTGTTCAGAAATCACACCCACATCCCACCAGCCACATCTACTGGGGGGAGGGGGGGAGGGTGTGTCTGGCCATCATATCTTTTGTTCCCATTTCACTTCTAGTCCCAACTTTTGATCAATAGGCTCTGGAATGATATGCACAACTATGTGTGGTTGAGCCACTGTACAGGACAGCGGAGGACTGGATCAAAGGGCAATCCCTTCTCTTACTCTTCTGTACTCAGGGGTGGGTAATTTCTGAAATACAACCCCCAACGTTCAGAGTCGGCTGATGAGCTCTAGCAATACTAATGATGTCATCTTTGTAGTTAAAATGGCTCAGGTGATATTTAACAGCATCATATGGAGAAATGGATGAATTTACCAGTTTGAGAACATCTAAGAAGAGAAATATTCATCAAAAGTCAGGAGGCATTATGCTGGGGAAAGCAACTAATACCTTAAAGGGTGAAAATAAGGGGTAAAGTAAAAAAGCAAAACAAAAAAGAAAGAAGATTAAACTGAAAAAAATGCAAATGGCCATAAATCATCTTGAACCAAATCTGAACCAAGTTTGACTCTAGACAGAAACTGACGAGAAATAGACAGAAAGGGTGATCACTGGGAATTTCATGTGGATGTAGCAAAACATTAATTTTGAGTATAGGGTCAAATTCATGACTCCATTTTGCATCAAAGATAAGGAAAAAATTAGAAAGGATTGTGCTGAAATCCAACTCATCCTCTCAGAGCTAATCTACAAGGCCTTGAGCCCCAGCCCCAAGAGAACCTCCCCCTTCTTTGTTCCCTTAAGTGTCCATACATATGTGCCACTGACAGATTAGAAGAACTTTAGAAAAGGAGATAAAGTCATTAAAGAGACAGGGAAATAGCTTCTCAAGAAGTGTCTAAGACAATCAGACTAGTTTTGTCTTAAAAAAATAGAAAAATAGAAAAATTAAGTTTAAAGCTAGATCTTTCCAAATGCATATTTCCACTCTGTGAATCCAGCATGATGAATCTGTAACATGTGACTTTTTGCTAACTGCGGGTCCCATTCAGGGACTGTTCATGCAGAGAACAAATGCTCATTTCACTATGAATCCAGGCAAAGGGGTAGGAAGACAGCCTGAGATGATGCTTCTCAAGCCACACATGTTTGCAGTACATGTGTTTTTGTTTTATCTAGGTCAATATTCCTCCGTCATAAGAGCTGACTGTCAAGAAGAAACGTAAGCAGCTGTTCACAGTAGTGCTAAGAAGTAAAAATGGGACTAAGTGTCTTACAGTAGGTGGCACATAAAGTAGAAACTGACACTTCACTGATATAGGGAAGGGTAAAAGAAAAAGGTGGGGGATGGAGAAAGAGCTATGTCCCATCAGGGATCTGTGGTCCTGCCTATGGAAAACAAAGAATGGGCCAGATCTTACAGACCATTAAAAAAGGAAGCAGGAGAAAGATGAGCAAAGATAGGAAAACAAGAGCAACTGAATAATTGGTTGGAAAACTGAAATGAGGCTGGTGAATTAGGAGAGAGAAGCTCCTTAAAATTTAAGCTGTAGGAGTTGAAAAGAAACCGATATGTACTTTTTCATAACTCAAGAAATCGTCTGTTTGATGCAAGGAATAAAAGTTTTATCTGTAAAAAAAATAAAATGTGATAAAAATGATTATTAAATATAACTGGAATGTAGAACCCTTTTGGTTTAAATTTAGTACTTTACGATCCAACTTTAAAAGTGAAAAACTTAGATTCGAGTTGGAAAGTGATGTTGACTTTTATTTCAATGACTACAATTTCCTCAACCGGTTTCAATAACACAGTATGCTCAGCTTTTTTCTTCCCCAGTTATTGACAGCTAGTAATTTGCTATTTCTCCCAAAGACTCATTCAACCAAACCTAAAATAGGGAATGGATGGGTTTATTTAGAGATGGAAGTAAAATGGGAACTAAATTACTTATTTAGATAAGCCCCTTATTTTAAAAATGTATGGAGTTTTCTCAATACATATACCATCTTTGAAAATGGCCCAGATCAAATCTAGCACAGAAATTTTCTTCAAATACTCATGGTTAGCAGTTAGGGCAAAAACTGAGAAAAGAAGGGAGACATACCCCACCTGCCCACACCCGGAGGCTCTGAGCCCAGATGAAGAGATCAGTATCAATGCTGGCTAGGTAAGGGGCCCATCAGCAGACTCACTTTCCTCCACACTGCCCTTGGCATAGAATTCTATGCCATATTAAAAAGGAAAACCACAAATGGCTTACCCTATTTACTTTGAGATTCACAATTAAGTGAGCAAACATTAGCTCCTGCAAATACACTGTAAGTAGTCTGGGTTAACCTCCCAGCCTCCCTATTCACCATCCAAATCCATGCTTCTCATACGACCAGCTACATTTTAAAGGTACTCAATGGGTTTATGAAACCAGTTTATGTGACTAGCTTCAACAAATGCTATGCCCAGGGAGCAAGGCTGAAATCACAATCTTGGGGTTCTATGACCAAGAAGGCAATGGAATGAAAAGGGATGAGTTTTTCCCTGTCTTGGTGAAACTGTTAAGTATGATCCAATTTTCTTATTTCATGGAAAGAATGTTAGGCTTTAGTCTCATCTTTGACTAAAACAGCATAAAAGAGTCCTAAGATGAACTAATTATAATAAATGAAACAATCTGTCATTTGTTGTCACTACTGATAAGTATTAATATTGAATAACACCATTCCACTTTTACGTTCAAGATTAAGTTGGTACGATTACACACACACACACATCTCTAACAAAAGCCCAGGGATTTTGTGCACCTTACTAGGTACAATCACCTATTGATGACATCTTCATCTCTGACTTTGAGAGTCAGGGACACAAAACTATAGCTTTCTAGGGGGAAAAAAAAAGTTATTTTCTTGAGCTGGAAATACAGACTCTTATCTTTTCATCCCCTGAGAATTTCAAGAGAAATATTTGATAATTGCTGAAGAAATCATTCATTTCAGGATATATATATATATAATCCAGGAAGAGGAGTAAGAAATGACCAAGGCTAGGTGCCTATCTCGGTCAGAGCCTTACCGATCAGGGTGTGAAAGACGGCGGCCACGGCGCCGGCCACCACCATACACAGGACGGCTTTGGTCCTGTCTCGCTTGCTGTTCACAAACACCAGGCCCACGTTTTTAAAGTCACTCATGGGGCCTGTGAAGAACTTCATCAGGGAGTAGGCCAGCCCGTAGCTGGCCAGCATTTCGACGGCATCTTCCTTGACAGCAGCAATGCCCCGGTTCAAGGCCTGAGAAGGTGAAAAAAAAAAAAAATTAGAAATGGAGTCTCATCTCTGGGGAATCACACTCCAAAACAACACTCCGTAGACCGTGTTCCTATAGAAACGCTAAGCAGCTTCTAGGGTAAATCTCACTGTAATTTGATAAAGGTTATTGGTCTTCATTTTCATCCAGATTGGCTTCAGTTTGAGAATCTTTTTGTGGGGGAGATACTTGTTTATTGGGGTTAAAGAAATAGGAAAAAAAAACCAGTAAGTATTTTGTTAAATTAGAAAATAATTCTATAAAATTTTGGTAAAAAACTAATTAAAAAAAAACCATAACATGTTGAATTTTATTGGTAAGCTGAATGTAAATAACAGCCACAGGCATTCTGGAAGTGAACCAACCTGTTTATGTGGGGCAGGTAATGACTTTTTCTTAAAGAAGGCATGCGTGTGCATGTTCGAGTGCGCTTGAGTCAACTTATATGCTGTGAAAGTGGCCTTCCTAGCAGAATATGCTCTATGCTATGAAAAAATCATTATATGGACTCATCTGGTTCTTGCTGTGCTTTAACTTGAAATGCATTTCTGGGCTCTGTGCAGACAAATAAGTATAAAAAGAACCCGTTTTAGATGAAATGCGATGACCACTCAGGAAGATGCGGTCATTGAATGTTCTAACCACTTGATGGTCCAGATCCCCTTTGGAAACTAACCCACCCACCTAGCAGATAAATAGATAACTCGGATGATGTTGGGAACAGGAGTCCAGGCGGACCGAACTTGATGCCTAAAACCCCTCTAGAACATCCCCTCTGTCCTTAGGACCATGCAACCGAGCAGAAAAGTTAGCTTCCAGTCAAGTACGTATTTTTTAAAACAGACTTTATTTTTAAGAGAAGTTTTATATTCATGGTAAAACTGGGTGGAAATTATAGAGTTCCCATTTACCTTCTAACCCTAGATCGCCTCCCCCACTTTTGCTATCCCACACCCAAGTGCTGGGTTTTTACAATTGATGAACCCTTGACACATCATTATCACTCAAAGTTCATAGTTTACATCAGGCCTCACTCACAGTATTGTACATTCTGTGGATTTTAACAAATAGGATGATACATGTCTATCATCAATGATATGCTCAAGTCTTTGCCCACCATTTTCATTCTTCCAGAGAAGACACAATGACATTCATAAATCCCATATTCAGTCTCTGTATATACAAACTCAAAGTAGAAGAAATGAAAGAAATGCATTTTTTTCCTGTCTGCTTCCTATTTGTATTAAGTAGATAGCAGTTCATAATTTCCCCTATGAACGTACTGTTATGGGACAGTACAAATGCTATCTTGCTATACTTACTTGCTAAAGTTTATCTGCACAACACTAAGTGAGCCAATGGGAGCTTGAAGGAGTGATGGCTGAATACAACAAAGAATTCAAGAACAAATCTTCAAATGCACATAATATTTAAGAATCATACTATATTAAAAATAAATGCAATCCATTGTGTTTCATTGATTCTAAGACACTAAAAATCATAAGGTACCTAACTAATTTGTATACCACCAAGAAAGAAAAAAGGCTCCCAACTGTAAGATGCATCCAGATTGCAGAGATACTAAAATGCGTGTGTGGTGGTGGGGGGGGGTACTCAGGATCTATAAAAGGAGGTATTTCATGTACTCTGAAAGCATTCCTCAACGTCAAAGGCTGATCTAGGTTTTGGTCTTCATTCACTATACTCCAGCAGACACTGAGCACAAGCACAGGTAGAGTGAGCCAGCAAAACTCAAGGGCTCAGTCTCTGCCTGTTCTGTGTTCCATTCACTTTCCCAGGAGACACGGCTGACTGATACCTTGAACACTTACGGAGCTGACGGTCTTTGCAAAGCTTATTAGGGAAAAATAGATAGTCACAGGAAAATACCAAAATGTAAAAATGGTTTTGGAAAAGAGTAGAGCAAAAATGTACCCTAGCAGTAGGAAGTCATTGTCATCCTCTCGATTAAGCTGGCATTACATAAGCTAGTTCCTGATAATTGTTTCCAATTATGTCTCTAATTCTCTTTCTCCTTTTCTAGTAATAGCCTAAAAACTTTCATGAGCACCTTTTTAGCCTCTGCAGAGCACCCCTGCTGTGATGCCTCTCTTAGAAACAAATTTTCCCTTCTATCACAGTTGATTAAATCTCTTAACACCCTAGAGCAACATAAAAGCAAGAAATTCCCTGACAATAAATTCTGTGTTCAACAGGCACATCTACTCAGAGGGCTCCTGCTATGTGTCAACACTTACCGCTTGATCATCTACCAAATTAATTCCTTTTGGACTTGGTAGTGGATGCTATTGACACCCTGCCCAGATGCCCAATACCGGGTGGTGCACCCATCACCAGCTGCTGGGAGTTGTGGTTCACAGATGCTTCCTTCTCAGGAAGAAGTACCCCAGCCCCTTTGTGTGAGTTAAACACACCTGATCCCCACTGGACCCCCTGACAGCAGGAAGGGAATGTCACAGGGTTTAGAAGATGAGCTCCCTGCCTCCATGGAAGCCACTCTGGTTGGGTTCACAACCTGGCGTTCCCATGTGACATGGGAAGCAGTCTCCAGTGGAGACTAATCTTTGCTTAACTTCTCTCCAGCTTCCCATTCTGATGGCTTCTCGTCCCCCTCAAAGCACTTGCTCATTAAATCACAATGCACAAGAGGCCACACATACCGATTTTGCTTTTGGAGAACTCTATTTAGGACAACTTCTAATTACTTGTCTCACAGGCTGGAGAACTCTGTCTAGTTGTGTCTTTGTCTTTCCCATCTTTCCCCAAATCTGTGATTGTGGATTGTTTACTTGTTTTTACCTCTCAAATGTATGTTAAAATTTAAACAATATATATTATTCAACACAAGTTTCAATCGCACCTAGTAGTGCTCCTAAATAATGTAGGACTAGATTGTTTACGTGTCTTCTTGGCAAAACTTCATGTTTTGCTTTAAAAAGAAAAAAAAAAAAATCAGCCCTGGCTGGGGCCTCTGTTACGATGCTTTCTATTTCCACCAACAGTTCCTTGATTTAAGTCCTAAACCTAGGGCTGAAGGGTGCAGGGAGGAGGGAGGACACAGGTAATGATAGCTCAGCCTGCAAGCCAAGTGAGAAAGTTTCATTTAGCTCAACAATTATGGCAATTTGAGGAAAGAGCACAGGGTTCAGAGGCATGCAGGCTTGAGCTGGAATCTGCTTCCATCGCTTAACTGCTGAGTGGTCAAGGAACTTCCTCTCCCTGAAATAACCCTGCTGATCTTAAATGGGATATAGGCAGGTGCTGTAGGCACCAAGCAGTGACTGGCCTAGACCAGACATCTGAAAGCAGGGACTTTTGTCTATTTTCTTCATCACTCTAAGTGAAGGGCTTGGTAAGCCCTCCAATTGATCTACTGAATAAACAAATGAATCGGCTGTTATCTACCAAGAATGTAAACGTTCATACTAATTTTTTAAACTTTAAAAAAAAATCACCTTTTATTATGAGATGGTATTGCTCAGAAGATATACCACTGATTTAATGTTTTTTATGATCACATTAAATGTGTACATAATTTGAAAAACTGCTTCTGATTTCAAGAAATATTAAAATGCAAGAAAAAAATTTCAGAATTGAGGACAAGTAATACATTAATGTTATTAGCCCTTTTAAATTCCCACTTATAAAGCAAGCATTTCCCCCAATTTGTTCACCTATAATGTCGTGATTTTATTTTGATACCAGGGATAATAATATGGAGTCTCCCATTACTTTATAAAGTAAGTTTCCATATTTTTAGCCTTTGTAGTTCTTATCCATCCATATCTAAAATAGTTTCACTCTAGTTTATGGCTTCATTTGCACCCTTCACTTCTTATTATTTTTTTGGTATTAAACTCAGGGGCACCTAGCCACTGAGCCACACCCCAATAGAGAACATTACTTATTTATTTATTCATTTTTAATTAATTAATTTATTCTAATTAGGTATATGTGACAGCAGGATGCATTTTGATTCATCGTATACAACTGCCGCAGAACTTTTCATTTCTCTGGTTGTACATGATGTAGTGTTGCACCATAAGTGCAGTCACACATGTACCCAGGGTAATGATGTCCATCTCTGTCCCATCCCGATGCCCCCTCCCCTCAATTTTGAGACGAAGTCTTGCTGATTTGCTGAGGGCCTCAACCTTTCAATCTTCCTGCCGAAGCCTCCTGAGTTTCAGGGATAACAGGCGTGCACCACTGTGCCTGGCCTTGCACATCTAACTTTTAATTTCAGTGAACTTAGGATGTGAGATAAGATCAAAATTAATTTCCTTAAAACAGTTCATGTTTCTTCAAAACCACTTTCCAAGTCAACCATCCACCACCCATTTATTGAGATGGTTTCTCACAGTCATCGGGTCCTACCTGCCCTTCAGGTACCTACTGTCTGCATCTTTTGTCTCTGTTACTCGCTCTGCCTTTCTTCACAGCCTGTTCACTGCCTGACTTATCATGTGTTTATCTGTCATTTGTCTTGGTGTCCATCTCCTCTACCTGAATGTTGGCTCCAGGGAGCCGAGACCTGTGATCTCACAATATCCCAGACCTATCATATGACAGGACATCCCATGATCCATAAATATTTGAAAGGATACAATAACATGCATACAAGCAGTATAATCATTTACTGTGATGTGTTCTGGAAAACCAAAATAAATATGCCAATGAGCTGGATATTCCTTGGTGAGCTTACTAACATAGATAGGGCCACCCCTCTATAGAGGTGATATTCAAGCTGAGATCCAAAGACAAAGAATGAGCCAGTCGGGTGAGGGCCTGGAGGAGAGCAGAGACCTGCAAGAGGTTTGGTGTTGGAGGAACAGAAAGAGGCCAGAGAGAGAAGTGAGGGGGGAGAAGGCGAGTTTGGAAAAGCAGATGATGTTGAGATCATTCCAGGTCAGGTGAGAAATGGGTCAGGTGAGGATTCATAAAAGGCTGTGGGCAGAAGCAG